TTTGTGTACTTTCAGCATTTTCAAATAGACAAAACATGGAAAATGTTTCCACCCCCTTTCCCCATGGCCCCACTAGCAATATTTTATGTTTTTTGTGGTTTAATACTTGATTTTTCTGAAATCTCCAGGCTGGTCATATGATGTTGCATGGTCCTCTTCAGTCTTCACCTTTTCTCCAGGCTGGGTGTTCCCCTCAGATGTAGAGAGCAGCGCTGATGTGATGATGTCAGGAGCGCACTCTGTACTGGTACACTGTGAATGAAGGGCACTCTGGTGATGCCCCCTCATGGGGTAAGGTCACAATGTCCTGTACTTACAGCATGCATGCAGTCTTCTGTGTAGTGTAACGCTGGGGAGACTGAGGAAATCCAGTGGTGAAGAAGATTGCAGAGGACGGCTCCTGATTGAATGTGAGTTTTGCAGCCTGAACTGTTTATTGAGGATGGGGGACTCTTTCAGGTCCTAAAGATTTAGCAAGGAGCTGAGCTTTAAAGTGACACTAAACTCGGGAGTTAAATCTTAAAAATGGGTTCCCCATGGTCCCTGTGTGGATTTTAAAGTAGCCAGCGCTCGAAGATCACTCCCCCAATGGACTACAATCTCAGTGCAAATTAGTAAACTAAGCACACAGGGACCATGGGGAACAAAAGTAGCCCCCCTCCAGGAGGAAGGACAGTGTCAGCACCAATCCAGAGATGATCGGAGGATCTACTGCCGAGTGATACACAAATAAGAGGCATTTTTGTTAATAGTTAAGGTACTTGAATGCATTTCTAAGAATTGACTCCTGAGATTAGTGTCACTTTAATGATGGAAAACTGCAGGAAAACTGAATCTTGCAGGAATTGACAACTTTTAACCATTAGTTATGGCAATTTATGTGTACGTATTATAATGCTTTATAATTGAAAAAAATAATAGAAAACCAGTTGGTATAAAGGAATTTATTTGAAATTACTATTAATCAAATAATTTACAACATATTTTGAAAAATGTCCACTTGTGGTGAAACATTCATTCATATTTTCATATTAATGATTAATTATTTACATTGAATGCACGTTCATCGTTACATCCAAATGTATGTAGTAGAGTATGTATTTTTTTATGTAGAGTATGTACTTTTTTGTTTTGGAGAGACTGTTCAGAAGCCCAGACGGGTTTTTATAGCTGTCTACGTCCACTTTAGGTATAGTCACCTCTCTGTCCTGGTGACAAATTTTACAGGAAATCTTGCAATGGGGATAACTGTCTAAGACGGGAATTCGCCTAATTTTGTAGACATTTTCTCTCATTTACTGCTGCGTCTCTGGAACAGGAACTGAAGTGAAATCTCCCCAACATGCCAGACAGCAAAAACCAATAGGATTTTAACCCTTTCCTACTTTACCCAAATCTAAAAGTTTGGGCTATGTGTACACACTTTAATTACAATTTCAGAATTATAATAAAAATAATAGAATTATATTTTAGTTGCTTGATTGCTATTTAGAATTAGAAATTATTCTATGACAAAGCGGGACCTGCAGAAGAAGAGACTTTATATTTACCTGTCCTGCCAACCCTACCTCCAACCTTTGGCCTCTCGTAAAGCAGCAGCTTCTTAAAGGAGAACTATGAGGTGAGTGCTTTTCCCTCACCTCATAGTTCTAGCCGACCTATGACAATGAGACTGTCACAGGTCGGCTCAGTAGATCGGGAGGTGAGCGAACACATGCCGTTGTTCGTGACAGGGGAGGGGATGGATTCCCCCCTCCCCGCTCCGATCCACCAGCGCTGACTGGCGGAACGGACGGGAGAGGGGGCGGGTACAGCTGGCTCTGCCTCTAGATAGGCAGAGCCAGCTGTCACTCACGCAGCTGGGCGGATATCGACATCGATGTCGGGATCCGCTCCGGTGTCTCAGTATACCGCGAGCTGTAGCTCGCGGTATACTGGGCTTAGGGTGACGGGAGGACGCTAGTTTGTGTCCTCCCGTTACCCTAAGGAGAATAATGGGGAAAAGCCCTGACCCCATAGTTCTCCTTTAATGACACACAGAAGGGAATTTATCAAAACTGGAGCAGCTGTGCATAGCCACCAATCACCTTCTCTCTTTCATTTTCAAAGCTTAACTGAACAAACCGAAGAGAGAAGCTGATTGGTTGCCCTGAGCGACTGCTCCAGATTATGCCTACTCCAGTTGTGATAAATTCCCTTCACTGTGGTCCCCTGCTGCATGCTCTATTTTCTTCTGCTGGCCCCTGTGTCACTGCAGGATGCAGTAGTAATGTAGTGGTCAGTGGAAGGACCCACAGCACATGGTGTGGAATGCAGGCATCCAATACAGCCGGAAGTATTGGTAGCAGGGCCGGATTTCCCACAAGGCCCACCCTGGGGCAGCAGGGATTAGAGGGGCAGCAGGGGTGTGAAATTCCTATCTCCTGACGCCCAGGACATGCAGTTCGGGGCGCCGGGCTGGTAGTTGTTTTCTACATTCAGCCCTGCATTGGGCAAGCAGCGCTAAATGTAGAGCGGGGAAGCCGCCGCTTGTTTTGATACAAGTGATCTTGGCGATGTCATCGAGATCACTTGTATGCAGCCTGTATACAGGGGGGTGCATTGAGAAAAGTGAAGATTCTTCAGTCGGCCATAGCTCTTGAAGGTATTTTAAGGTATGGCGTTATGAATAAGTTTGTGGCATTACACCTCAGTGGTCAAACCTTCTTGATGTGAAATCTATCTAAATATCGTTTAGTATACAGTTAAAAATATGTTAACATATTTGCTGGAAATGATAATATACGGTATGTTTAGGGCAGTGGTTCAGAAGAAAGTTAACAATTATATATACTTAAGTTATTGGAGCACAGACATTATATACTGTACTGTACATATATAAAAAGTTATATGGGACAAAATTAACTAGTAGTAGTGAATCAAATTCATTTGGACTTTGGATTCAGTAAATTTGATCAAGATGGCTTCCTCAGTTCAAAAGAGCTTATCTGTATGTGACTGATGCAGTCCATTACTTTCCTCGTTCCTGTGCGGGCGCCTTGTCTACCTTCCATGGCCACAGACACTTCTGGCTGGGTTTTGCCTGGAGTATCATTGCCTTGTCACAGAACTGCAAAGTGTATTTATGGTTGAGGGGGAAGTGCTGTCACCATTCAAACATCAGGTTTTTACAACTGTTACATGACACATTGGAGCTACCAGTTGTATCCATGCTACCTGAGTTATCTGAGCTACCTTAACTGTCTAAGCTAACTGACCTATCTGAGCTACCTTGGCAACCTGAGCTATCTCCTGTCTGAGCTACCAGAGCTCCTGCTACCTGAGCACCCTGCTGCCAGTACACCCTTGTTATCAGTGGACCTGGCTACCTAAGTATCTTGCTACCTGTACAGCCTGCCTACCATTGCACCCTGCTACCTGAATAACTTGCTACCAGTACAGTCTTGCTGGCAGTGTACCCTGCTACCTGGGTATCTTGCTCCCAGTACAGCCTTTCTGACAGTGCACCCAGCAACCTGTGTAAATTCCTACCAGTACAGCCTTGCCACCAGTGCACCTTGCTACCAGAACAACCTACCAGTGCACAGTGATCCCTGTGTAACCCTGCTACCAGTGTAACCTTGCTTCCAGCGTTGTCCAGCTACTAGTGCCAAAGTGTCACCAGTACTCCCTGGTACCATCTACGATACCTGTGAAGTAGCTGCTATCAGTTCTAGCTATACTACATGTTACAGATTCTTCTCAGCCACCTTTACAACCTCTCTGAGCATCTACCCTCCTCCACTTCAGTGAATACCTGTTAAGTGACCTGTGAGTAGCTTGCAGCTAAGTCCAAACTCTTTTGAGGGGGTCCCTGGCAGAATACCAGATATCCCTTAGATTCCACTCTGGAGGAAAGTGGTCATATCTATGAAAGGGTCTACACCCAGGGTTCGCGACAGTGAGTTGAACTGATGAAGCCACTTGAAGAGGTGAATTGTCCAGATAAAAAATGATGTGTGTAAATAAGCACCTTCACAGACATAAGGGGGACATTTCTTAAGTATTGTGACGTGAGAAATAAGGGTGCATGAAGCATGAGTCCAAATCAAAATGTATTAGCCTTCCGTAGGGCCTCAAAGAGTAAAGTGCTCAGAAACTGTGTGTAACCAGATCATTGTAAGATTGGGTACTTTGTGGCGATGGAGCGCCTCAGGAGCTCTTCTGTACACATAGTATTAGTTAATGTTACTTTATTTATATTGGTGTCTGTCTCACTAAATCACTAGCTACCACCTTTTATACCTGTTGGTTGTGTTTAGATGAAGCACTGAGATCTTGAGGAATGCTGAGTTATGTTTTACTTGCTTGGAAGAACATTATATCAGAATACAGCATTATACAGAAAACATAACAGATAAAACGTCCTGTATACCATAGTAAGAGTAAGCACTAGAGACTAACATTGCAGTATACTGCCATCTACAGCTCAAAAGATAATATTACATCTCTGAATGTCAGTAATACAAAACCAGTGTATGCTGTTGTATTTCCAACAATACCCTCTTACAAGCTGTCATTTTTCAATTGCTCCTACATAGAGATGATTGGGGATATCACTTAACTTGATTTTGCCACCAAAAAAAATAATTAAATTTTAAATAAAAAATGTCAACAAAATTAGCATCTAAATAGCCACTGCTAGGTGGAATTTGCTTGATGTTGGTTTTGTGTGACATAGGTTTGCTTATAAACAGCCATGTGATCATTATTAAAATGCTGATATGACACTAATATGGCTTTGTTGATGAACAATGGATTAGGGTTAGGTCTAGGGTCAGGGTTACCATTAGGGTACAATAAACTCCAGGATAGCTGAAAGGAGCTTCCCTCAGGATCCATTTAAAACCCATAGCATCCATAAAACCACTGATAGCTACCTTAATGTTTCCTTACTGAAGGAATTGTGATTCATTCTGCCCAAATTATGCCAAAGTAAAAACTCCCAATTTCACTTTTGCCTATTTTCGCATTATTTCAATGTCATAAGCTATTGGGCCACCAATTGAAAATCCGAGATAGAAAGACACTTGCTCAATGCTCTTACCACTTCTGAGTTCTCCAAGGTGAGCGGCTCTTACTGGAATTGTAACTCTTTCATCACTGCCATACTCCACAATGATAGAGTCATCCTCAACTCTACCTTGGACACGGGAAAGCAAGCCCTTTGTTTCAGGTTCTTTCCATAGTTCTCCTCCTTGCCAGAGGGAATTTAAATGTAATGGTGGCAAATCAGAAAAACTTTGGTCGATCTTTCCTTTGTGAACAAATCTTTTCAAGCCCTTGTTATTGGCTAGGTAAAATTGGGCTTTTGGGTACTTGGCATGGTGCATGTGTCGATATTGCCCCCTAGATGATTTTCTCATGGAGCTGATACACTTGGCAATGAGTTTGGAATCACTATCCAGCTGATACTTCTCTTGAGGCCAGAAAAGTAATGAGGCTAAAAAGTAAGGCTCTGAGGACTTATGATCAAAGCCGATGGTCTGCAGAACCTCTCTGAGATACTCTTTTAGTTTTTCAATTGGTGCAATGTCAGATTTTGGAGAGATACAATGAAGCACAATATTTGCCAATATGAAATTTTGTTTGTCTCTTTGACTGCAAGTGTCAGGGCTTTTCTCCAATAGGAACTTGTATAAATTTACAATAGATTCCATTTTTACTACATCTTGTTCATGACCATTAAGATACTGCAAGATTCCGGAGAATTTATCAGCCTTGTAAAACTCCAGACATAATCTGTAATCTTGTATGAGCAATGGCATGCTCTTTTTTTGGACAATTGTGCTATCTGGTAATTGTTCAACTGTACAGAATAATCGTCTGTATATTTTGTAGTAATAATCAATGATTTCTCGGATTCTGCATTCAAAGGTTTCTTTTGTGAGGCTCTTCTGTTTAAACAACACAAAATAGTCATCAAAAAAGTCAAAAGTCTCCTTTAAGTGTGATTTTAACTTGGTTAGAAAGTGTCTGGAGTCTTGTAACACACCACAGATTTCCTCATGGCTTTTACTGACGTTGTCCACTGATATGTCCCATTTCCCAGATAGGAATTGCCTCAAGTGTCTTCTAGATATGCCATCTTTTGTGTTGAACCATGGCAGCAGAAAAAGTATATCTACTGTGCAAAGACAAACTTCTATCTGGCCCAGGTACCCTACAGTGTTGTGCACATGAGAACCTTTGAGTTTTGCTGACTCATACTCATCGCTTTCGGACTCTGCCTTTTCTGTCTGTTCTTGGCATTCTTTAAAGGCTTTTGATGCATTTTCTGCTATTTCCAGAAGATTTTTCAAACCTTGTGCATCTAAACACATTTTGCTTTGCTTAGCTATCATCATTTTTAATTGAGTCTTGTAAATCTGACCCAGAGTATCTAAAATGAAAGAATTTGTTGGAGACATTTTCTTAGCTTTCTTTGCCCACTGGAACGCTGCATCAATATCTTTCTCCCTTAAATAAAAATATCTTGCCAGTGCTTGTAATATGAATGGATTCTGGTTGAATCTTATAGCTCCTTCTTTGAAAACTCTTTCTACACTTTTGTGGCCTTCACCTTTCTCTATTTCTTCAATTAAAGGAGAAAATTGTGTATCTGTTTCATCCCCGTGTTCCTTACGTTGTCTTGTCACCAGCATGCTTTGCACATTCTTTGCAAGTATATCTTTTCCAATCATAGTTTCATAGAATACATTGGCTTTTAACATGTTCAACATGATGCTACTTTGCTGCATTCCATATGTGATCCTTAATTCCTCTACGCATTGTCTTGCAATAAGTGGGTGAATTATGCGTAGCCCTTGGTAGCCTCCATATTCTTCCACTTCAGTGCGAAGTAACAGAGGAAAATAGCCACCCAGTTTTTCTTCTATGCTTTCAGGGCCCCAGAAGGTCTGTTTTGCTGTTATGCCAAGCAACTCCTCACACATAGAAACCGAAATTGTGGAGTCATTCACATATTTGTTTAGGAGGGCCAGAATCGAAATAAGCTGAGCTTCTTTGCTTGCATTGTTTAAACCTTTTAATATGTTTCTTGCCACATTTTCTAGGTATGTAACATCAAAGTTTCTTTTCATAATCATGAAGGAATAAAAGTCTTCTGGCTTCTCATGACTTTGTTCAATTTCCCCTAATTTTATCTCAAAGGCTCTCTTCTCTTTTTCAGATAGTTTGTGAATCAGAGCAACACTTTTTGTGCAGTAAGTTTTGGAGCTTTCTTCTGGATTCTGAGATCTCATACAGTGTAAAATGATCACTATTGGTTTCTCATATCTGATGGATCTTTCTGCAATGGTAGCCTTGATGCAGCTCTGCAAATTGAATACATTTTCTTCTTCTTCAAAGTCATCTACTAAAAGCAGAACTGGATAATGATCCACTGCGTTAGTCGATCCATGAGTTGCTAACATGATTACTTCTTTTGCAATATCTGTAAAGTTATCTGTCTTTCTCTTTAAAGTTGCACATCGGAATGTGTCTCGCAGTTCCCAAAGTACATGCATTGCTATAGTAGTTCCTCCACAACCGGGATGATGATAGACAGTAATTGTTTTTACGCTGCTTTTCTCACTGTTAGAGGATTTAACCAAATGTCTTAACTTTTCATAGTTGTCTCTTTTAATAAAGGGTCCAGTGTATTTTTCTGATGAGAAGTAAAAATTCCAGCAAGTGGCTTTGCCTCCTCTGTAGAAATGTTCTTCTTTAGCTTTAATAAATTCTCTAAATGTTTTATTCTTCTCTTGTTCTGTATCACGGCATTGATTTATACAAAGGATGTCTAGAAAAGTCATAAGATCCTCATCTTTCCTCTGTAGAATAATTGACGATCTACCATGAGATGGCAGGAATCGGTTCGAAGACCGTGTATTGGATTTCAGTTTTAGAAGAGTTCCATTTACATTCTCAATGCTCAAGTTATAAACACATCTTTCGTCCATTTCCTCTTCAGATATAATTCTAGATTGCAAATCTCTCCATCCACAAAATATTTGTTCTTTTTCACAAATACACAGGATGTTCGTCATACCATTCAGTTCCTGGTAAAAAGCACTGAAAACCTCATTCATGGGATCCACTTGGTCTTCAACAGTGGAAAGCAACAAAAACACAACCAAAAATTTCCCAGGTTGCATCAAATCCTTCCTGCAAAGAAAAGAAATCATGCGCCTAATTTCTGACGCTTTCTCCTTATGCCACATTTTGTTGTCTAATGGTTTATATTCATGACTGTTAAGATCTTTTCTTCCATTACAGAAGATCCAACTGGTTTGTTGGCAGAGTTTTTGCTCTTCAAGCTTTTCAACAGTGACATTATCCATATTTTGAAACTGACGTGGAGAATGCAGATTGGCCACCCTCTTTTCTCTGTAAACTTTGCATAAACCATTTGTGCAAGAATCAGGATCGAAATCCAGAACAGCAAACCATGGAATTTCGTGCAGAAACTCCATATGTTTTGTATGACTTTCATGACATTTATTTGCTACCAAAATGTACCACTTGAAATAAGAATTGTCCATTGTGTCCCGATTTCCTGTTATTAAACTTACAAGTTTGTTGCCTTGTTCCAGCATCTTGTTTTGTTTTCTTCTTTGGTTGTCTTCTGCTTTTTTCCTGGCCTCGTCCCTCTCTATCATCTTAGAGTAAAACATTTTGAAGTCGGCATCCTTGTGTTTTACATTTGCTAGAATGTCTTTAGAGCTCTCCCCGTCTCGTACAAAGCAACAGAGATCCTTATTTTTCATCCACTTCTGGTCAGTGCAACTGTATTGGTAAGTGTGAAATATTTGTGAACTACAGTATGCATGTTCAGGAACTACATCAACTTCTATAACAACTAGATCAGACTGTGTGTTTTCTTGATGCAATACATCAACAAATCGAGGTGGGCGAATGCACTGCTTGGCTATTGAAAATTGTTTTTCCTCAAAATATTTGTTGATCATTTGATAAAGATACATGCCATAAAGTTCTCTTTCAGCAATATGAACACCGATAATTTCCCCATGTGGTTTGTCCCGTACTCCGAAATGGATGGTTCCATTGGTGCGGGCATTCATGCATGCAGCTGCAAACCTGAAAACTTCATTGCAAAATTTCATCTTTTTATCCTCCTCTGTGGCTTTTCCTGTGTTGGTAAATTCCTTGTACTCGTGCACTGGGTCAATATAATTAGAGGTGCCGGCTTCTGGTAATAGAAAATGGTGCTGAGTATACCGCTTGCTTTCATGAGTGCTATCAAAAGGGTAGGGTGTACACGTCACTTTTCGGCATTTGACATCAACTTCTGAACAACATGGCTGCTCTTCAGTAACATTTGAGATTTCTCTTGGCTCATCTTCATTCAAAGTTGCTGCATCTGCTCTTTTTTGCTTCTCATTTTTATTTGTTGTCGGTTTGTTTGTTGGGTCCTTCCTCCCATCTACACCTTTTCTATCAGGATTTGCTGGACCTTGCTTTCTATCCTTGGTCATCTGGGTCCGTTCATGAATTATTATAGCAGCTGGACCATAAGAAATCTTCATGTTCTGAAAGTCTTCTTTTGACAACACGTTTAATGCTTTCCCATTCACTTTCTGAGTGTACAGAATATCTGCTTCATCTTGCTCAATCTGTAGACAATCTGTAACCCAATATCTCACATGCTCCTTGGTCCAGTCAGTGATATTTGGAGGCAAATCAAATGGCTTGTCCATTTTGTTTCTTGAATCTTTGAAGTTAGAAAAATAATGAAAATTGTTATTTTGAAACAAAATATCTGTACAGTCTTACTCACCCGAAACTTGAAGCCTGCTGACTGCTAGACTGGTCCCTTCAGACTATCTCTCCTCTATTCCAGTGGTGGAATGTCCTTCTGTGTCCTCACGTCTTATACACTGTATAAGATCCTTAGACCACTGGAGCAGAGGGGGGAAAAGGGTTGCGGGGACCGGTCTAACAGCCAGTTGGCTGGAAGGTTTGGGTGAGTATAAATTTGTTGTTTGTGCTCTTTGCAAAAGGGTTTTAATTGCCTACAGATATCTACTGATCCCGGGGGTCTCTATGTCATTCTGCACTGTATGGTGTGTCCCTCTCCCATTCCTATAGTATCTGTGTATCTTTCTCTTTCCGATCCACTAGGACATTTTTCAAGATATCAGTCCAAAACTCTCTCAGTTGCCCCCTTGTCCTACTCTCCTTATAGGGGGTTTTAATTTGTTTCTTGATCCTTCCTTGCATAGGTTGCGACTTCCTCAGTCTCAATCCACTTTTTTTGCACTGGTATGCTGCATATACAGTAACTACACTGATGTTTGGTGTTGGAAGAACCCGTTAACCAGAGAATACTATTGCCAATCTTGGACTTGCAGAACTCTTTTAGATCTTGCAATTGCCACTTCTGATGTGCTACTCTTAGTGTTTGAGATAGAATATATCTGTCACTTGGCCACTGTCCCCAGTATAGGCAATGGCGGTTAATCTGCCTTTTGGTTTCCTCTGAATGGGTCCATGACTGTTTCTACTGATCTACAAGCCTTTTGGCAAGAAAATGTGCTATCAGGCTCCTACTCTCACTAATACCTGTGATTAGTGGAGCGCTTATATTACATACATTGTGAGTTACAGACATTCACACCATGCTTAGTGAAACGCTCATGACAATGTGTTTTCATTTTCATATAGATTTTTTTCTTTGTTTTCTGAAAATATTTGGAATTTGGATTGATCTGAAGTTTTTTTTGTATTGTAATTCGATCTATTTGAATCTATTGACTTGAGTTTATGTTATTTTTAAACATGGGAAAAAAACAGCGTGGTTCCGACCACCAAATGCCTATCACAAACGGTCTGGTTGGAATTTTATGCCAAAAAAAAGATTTGTGGGGTCCTCTTAAAATCCCTTGCCAGACCCTTGATCCAAGCAGCTGCCTGGCAGAGCAAGAAAGGGGGGGTGATCATGCATTCTTTTGTCGAGTTGGCAAGCATCGGGCATTGTAAGATGAGGCTCTACATCGCTGGACGACACGATTGATGATGGATTTACATCATGGGACTTTTTTTTTTAAATAGAGGACTTGTCAACAACTGTGTGTTGTATTTATTTACTAATAAAGGACTAATAAAGAAGGGGGCACCCAAATTATTGACTCTCTATTGGCCTTATTGATTAAATCTCTCATTCACCCCGACCAATCTGACTTTATGCCCAGGTAGAGCACTCATGGCGCCTGTATATGAATATCCACAATGCGTGGTAGCTACAACATCCTGTTTTGGTTGTTTCTTTAGATATTATGAAAGCATTTGTCATGGTAGACTGTCACTGCTTGTGGGAGGTCATGGTTGCATTGGGCTTGGGTCCTTCTCTTCTCTCCTGGATAAAATAGTTGTATAGTGTTCTTCAGTCTCAGTTTAAAACGGCTAATGATGTCTCAGATGTTTTGCACTATACAAAGGTACCTAACAGGGATGCTCCCTCTCACCACTTTTGTTTGCACATCTTCAGGTGTTGTTCATGCATCTAGGGATATTGGTTAGTCGTCAATGACTTCTTACAGAGTAAGCTGGGTGTTTCTTTCCCTCTCACCCTCTTGGTGATGTTGTTGGGTATTGTGGAACAATTTACCTCCTGTTCTGCGATTATTGTGTTTCTATGCTTGTAAGGCTAAGTGTTGTATTGGAAAAAAAGCCCAACTTCCTACTATTGAGGTGTTTATGACTCTAATGGATGAGGTTGTTTCCAAATACAAATTGACTTATGAAGCTAGGGCTTGTTCTAAGAAATTTGCCATGGTGTGGGAGGTCCTTGGATGGGTGGTCTCAGCTCTGGATGCATGAATATAGTGGACGTCTATTGAGATGGTGTAACAAGTTCCTTTGGTGGTGTATGCAGGGTTGGCGCTGTGTATGTGTGTGGCATGTATGCGTGTTATTTCTTTGTTTTAAATGAAACCTTCAAGTTGCTTGTGTTGGGGCTATGTGAACCCTGTTTCTCTTGGACTTTTTGGACTTTTTTTTAACTTGCTAATCAAACACCTTAAAAAAAATAAAAAATTAAAATATATACATGTGTGTGTGTGTGTGTATGTATATGTATATATATATATAATTCAACAATTTTTCTTTGTAGCTATATTTTCTGACTACCCTAAAATTCCATAATCAGCGTATATAATGGTCATTACCTTCTTACATCAATTTACAATAGTTCATATGTGCATATGTGCTGAATGCACTTCTGGGAGGCACGCCTTTCAGTGTGGATACTGACGTCCACTAAAACTCTGCAGTGCACAGTTCTGCATTCTGTTCTGTGGTCCTAATACAAAAAAAAAAAAAAAAAGTCATAGAATTTTTAACCTGTAAAAGTTTAAAATGTCTGAATGATCCTGCTGGGAAGATTTTGCTTCACAGGGAGACATTTCTACAAATTCGCACACAGCAATACAAACCTGACCTGACAAACGCTTACCTATGTTATCCAAACAGAAAAAAGTTTGGCTTGTCTTTAAAGCAGACTTTTACTTGTAGAAAATAGCCAGCACACAGTATACATCCACATAGTAAAATCCTCTTTATTAATTCATGATATTGGTCAGGGGCAGGCAAATTCTGGCCCTCCAGCTGTGGGCAACTACAAATTCAATTAGGCACTGCAAGATTATAACAGCCACAGGTGTGACTCACAGAGGAAGATGCATGCTGGGATTTGGTGTTTGCTTATCACTGGCATAAGGTATGATACCAGGTGTGTCAAACATACTGATGCATTATAGCCCCGAGGGCTTTAGTCATAGCTGTTTGACAAATTCTATCCCCACAATAAGTGGAGAGGGTACAACGCAAGAAACAATTACCCTTAATGTGTACCACCTGAACTGCCATCGCCTGCTTTTAAAATAAATAAAAACAAAAAAGAGGCACAGTATATGTACAACAAAACTAAAAAAATAAAAAAAAAGCGCTAATAAAAATATTATATATAGCATTACAAAATTTCAAAACCTAACAAAAATGCTCAAAATGCTGATACAAGTGTGATACTGAATACACTCATAGTAACAATATTAATAACAATATTTTATCAGCAGAGATCCCAATACATCTCAAAAGTATAATGTATATAAAAAATAATTCCTATTTTTATTAATTACAAATAGAGACTAACTTCCCAACGGTGATTCAGACCGTAAGGTATCCCAGAGTAGACTTGGAAAATCCACCATACCTCATGCTCCAGGAGGTTACGGTGCAAATCGCCACCCTTGCCAGAAAGGCTTACATTTTATGCCTTCAAACATAAGAGAGAGAGAGAGCCTTCAAGCAGAAAGAAGACACGTTACCTCCATTTATCTCCTGGAAATGTTTTGAGACATTGAATAGGCAAAGAGCCTTGGGGTTCATATAGCCCTAGTCATGTCCACCTGTTCTGATCCTCATAGGACGGGTCCTACACTTCACATATTGTATATTAAAGACCATGCACTGGACTTATACACACACACTCTCGCTCTCTCTAAAACTTATACACACTTATACTGTATATACCAACTGGATGCAGTCACTGGTCAGACATTAATATTCCACCTAGCTCCTTTAACAAAAGTCAATTGAAAAAAAATCGACTTTTGTTGATGTGGGTGGTGCCATGTATCTCCTGGAAATGTTTCAAGACATCGGATAGGCACAGAGCCTTGGGGTTCATATCCCCCCAGTAATGTTCACCTGTTCTGATTCTCATAGGACGGGTCCTACACTCCACATATTGTATGTTACAAACCATGCATTGGACTTATACTCTCTCTCTCTCTTTCTATATACTTTCTCTCTCTTTCTATATACTAACGTATACACACATATATGTTATATACCAACTGGATGCAGTTACTGGTTAGCCATTAATATTCCACCTGGCTACTTTTAAGAAAAGTCATTTAAAAAAATCGACTTTTGTTGATGTGGATGGTGCCGGCTTGGCCACCCACAGCTCGAATTTTGGACAATTGCTGCTGAATCAGTCACAATCTGAGCTTGTATGGCCAGCTTAACACAATATAAATCAGGCTGTGAACAACTGCAAAAGAGGGGACCCCCAGGTTTCTCCCAGCCAGCTCTGGTTCCATGGTCCTTGCCAAATAGGAGGATCACTGTCCAGGGTTCAGTTACATAGTTACATAGTATTTGAGGTTGAATAAAGACATTAGTCCATCAAGTCCAACCTATTAGGATCTCATTCTAGGAGTACCTGTACCTGACCCTTCCCCTTTTCTTCAGCACAGGTACATTTTTCACAGCCATGTTTCCAATGTATTGCACTTTCTTTTTTTAAATAGCTTTATGAATTTATCATATACTGTACATACACATCAGCCATAGAAATTCAGAACAAACGGACAGTTTGCAAGTTCTCCAAAATTATAATATTTCAAAACAATGCACACACTATAACATAAGAGTAAAGTAAATAGAGGAAGCTTACATTTCTGTTGATTGCAGACTTTTTATTATTTTCTTTTCCTACGCCATTCTTCTTGGTACATCTGACAGCTGTCTAGAATCGTTGCAGTGTACAAGGAAATAACAAAGCTGGGCGTGAATCAGCTGTGCTGTGACGTTGTATTTTGTTAGTAAAGTGTCAAAGGTTGCCTGTTTTGTGTTTAACAAGAACTAGCAAAAAAATGTGTGTGGTGGTTACAAACAAAAAAAAGGCATTATG